AGGGGGCGCGGGGGGCGCCCGTCGTCCCGGAGAGCAGAGGAGGCCTCCGCGGGGTGGGCCGCAGTGGGCGCGCTGGCTCCTGGCGGTCGTGGGTGTCCGTTTGCGGGGCGCCTCCCCAAGCGCCCGGAACCCCGGGGACCGGAGCCGTCGTTATGCCCACTTTGCAGATGGGAAACTGAGGCTCAGAGAAGCCTCTGGTCCGATGTCCGAGGTCCGCGGCCGGGGAGTGGGCGCTGGACCTCATCCGGGCCAGGCTGCTCCCTGCCGCCAGGCGCCCCGAGATCGGCCCTTTCCCACGGGCACAGGCTGCCAGCTGGGAAGAGGGGGCGGAGGAGGGTTTGCTCCTGGGCGGTGGCATCTGTGTCACCTCGCCTTCAGCCAGTTGCAGCAGCGTGGGCGTGGAACCTGCGCTCGGAGTTTGTGCTCGCGTCCCCGAGTGACCGCCGCCTCCGCTCAGACAGCCGGGTAGGGGTGAGGGTGCCCTTTCCCAGATAAGTCCCCGGGAAGTTAACCGAGTAACTAAAGAGTGGCGTAGGGGATGGAGGACCTGCACTCGGATGTCACCACTGCAGCCCCACCCTGTGTCCACTCATCTGGCTGCCCGTGGCCCTTCTCGTCATTAGGGGAGGGGATGAGGTCTGCCGGGAGCCGACCCAGAAGGCCGGGCACTGGCGAGGAGCCCTGTTGGGGCTGCCTCCCTGCTTCCTTGAAGCAGAACTGTCAGTGCCTGTTGCTGAATGTGCATTAAGTTTTGTCCTTCCCTTGTCCCCTTCTTCACCCCCCAATAAGGAGTCCTATTTCACCACAGAGTGAAAGAAAGATCCTCACGTTGGGTCAAGTCATTCTTGCAAACCAAATTAGAGAAAAGTATTTTGACCCCACAGAAGACTCAGAGCGCTGAGGATGGGCCGGCAGTGGCAGGTTTCAGCCTGCAGTGTCTGAGGGCCTGGTGGGGTCTGAGGAAGAAGGTTGTCCTCTCAGGAAACGTCTAGTCAAGATTTAATCTGAAACATTCATGCTCCAGCAGGCAAGGTCCAACTTTTCACCCTCCCCTAGGGCCATCCGCCCCAGCTGTGGTGCGAGAGGTTTTCCTGGAGAACCAGTGCTCTTCTCTGTGGGCGAGTCTGTGGGTTGGGAGGACGTTCCGGGCCACTGCTGGGACAAGAGCTTCCGTTCGGTCCCTGCAGGTGTGCTAGTGGAATAAACGTACCGGAGACCGGAATCGCCTCGCACGCGGGCTGCATGTTACCTCTTGGCATCCTCGTTCCTCTCACCTGTGAAGGACCCTCCAGCTCGCCTGTGGTTGGCAGCTGGCGTTGCCCCCGCCCCCCTACCCTCCTCTGACCCCCCCATCCCCTCATCCTGCCACGGTTTTCCTTTCCCCAGGTGTGCACACCTTCAGCAGGCCTTGGGGAAGATGGCGGCCCCGGGGGACGGTCGGGAGCCCCCTCATATCCCATCCCCTGTCAGTCTCGAGTCACCGGGGACACCTGGAGCCCACCACCATGAGGCCCGGCGTCACCTCCACGGTCATCAACACGGTACTTGCACTGGTGCTGCACTCCACACCCCCCCACCCCCTGCACCATCCACCTGGCACCACCACCACGGCGGGCGGGAAACGAGGCAGCTGCGCGGGGCCTGGGGCGCCCGCACCCTCGGGCTTAGTCGGGACTTGGGCTGCAGTGGTTGAGGCTACAGGCTGAGCCGCGTGAGCAATGGCTCCCTAGGGGACAGTCCCCTAGGACTGCGTTTATTTGGAGGCGTCAGGGTGAAGAAAGCAGCCTCCATGGCCGGGCCCTCTGTGACGGGAGAGTTGTCTCACTTGCCTCTCCCAGTCCTTGCTCCCATGCCAGGAAAATAACGTCCAGAGTCCTGGGCAGGCCGAAGTGGGTGGAGGCCCCCAGGGACCTGCAGGGATGGAGCCGCCGGCCTTGCCCCACCCCATAGCAGGGTCTGGGGGTGTCGAGGCGTGGAAGTAGTCCACCAGTCGGGAGGATGTCCAAGCCCCGTGGCACACGGTGCCCCTGGGCCCTGCTCACGCTCGGACGTCAGGGAGTCCCAGGGGTTTCGTCCATGCCCCACGTTCCACAGGAGGCCTGGCCTCACTCCTCTCACAGCTGGGGACACAGATGAGCTGGTGACAGCCGGGAGTAGGGCCCAGATGTGTTCTGTCCCACTCAGGGCAAATCTTGGCAGCTTGCACCACTGTTCTGAGGAGCTGGCACTGAGCCCAGGGCTGGACCCACTCTGTGTCCGGGGTTCTCGCTCTTGGTGGGTCTCGGCATTATGGCGAGCGATGTCATGATAGCTGAGATTCGTCGAGCAGCAGCTGTGCTGTGTACCGGGCTCTGCCGAGGACTGTGTGTGGATTATCTTGATGTTCACGAACAGCCCTCCCAGATGGGCACTGACAGACGAGGACAGTGAGGCCCAGAGAGGTCAAGGGGGTGGCATGAAGTCACACAGCTCGGGAATATGGGATTCACCCCAGGTCAACCCAGGACCTGGATGGGAGCTCCTAGCCAAGCCCTGTGCTGTGCCCGGCTCCAGGAACCCTCCTGGCCCCTTGCCTGTCCCTGTGGTGGGGCCAGCTGGGTGCCGTGGGTATGGAGCTGGGTGCTGCATGGAAGGCGCCCGGACCCCATCCAGCACATAAACTGTGCAGGCCTTTGCTGGCCCTGCTGCCTCTCCCTCCATGACGGTTTTGAGACCTTGCTCAGGGCTCCCAGCCACCTGTGGGCCATGCTCCTCGGCCCTTATGCAGTCTAAATTTCAAGGCCCACATTTCATTTCCAGTCTCTCATGTCACCCTCGTGACAGCCTGGCAAGGTAGGACCTCCTGTCCCCATGTTTCTGATGGGGACACGGAAGCCCAGACGTGAGCCAGGGGAGGCCAGCAGGATTCAGACCACATTAGTCTGACTCAAGCCCCCGCCCTCCACCCCGCACTGGACCCAGCAAGCGGGGGCTCCTTCTCCTGGGGAGGCGGACCTAGGAGGGGGAGGGGCTTTCTGAAGGACATGCTGAGCGAGCTAGTCCTGCAGGATAACAAGGCTGCTGCCCAGGATGCAGGTCCCAGAGCCCATGCAAAGTGGGGCTGCCCGTGACCCGGTCTCTACCAGCCACGGGCAGCAAGAGCCCAGAAGGCCGGGCTTGGGTCCCCTGAGCCACATCCAAGTGCCCTAAAGTGCCCGGGTTTTGCCCAGTGGGAGGGAGTGGGCTGCAGCCAGCAGCTTCAGCCCTCACTGTGCCAGGGCAGAGACAGAGGTGGGGGGACCCTGCCCACAAGAAAAACAACCAGGGCTAACCCTGAAGAAGAGAGGTGTGGGGCCACCGGGCAGGCCCTAGAGGGGCTGCCTTTGTGGGGGGCGGCGCTGGGAGTGTGTGGTTGCTGGAGGAGAGGTGGCCAAGGTGTGATGGAGCCCAGGGAAGTGGCCAGAGGTAGGAGAGGGACCGCCTTCATCCCTCCTCAGGGGGACAGGCCCAGCGTGGAGAGCTGGGCCCACGTCCAGGCTGTTATTGAGGGCAGAGACCACCCCCTGCAGTCTCTCGAGCTCATTTCCTCTGCGGGTTGATTCCTCCGTGCTCTGGGTGCCACAGATGCTTCTCAGGAAAGACCTCAATTCTTCAGGAACCTACCCAGGACCCTCCAGCCAGTGAGGCCAGGCCTTCTGGAGCCCGGGCCTCCCAGACCAGAGTCATGAGATGGGCCAGATAGAGTGTTCCAGGGGGTCCACCCTGAGAATCTTGGGTCATGCTCACCCCAGGCCTGGGTCCCAGAATCTCCCACATCCACCTCACACACGTAGTCATTTCAAGAACCAGTTTCTGGGCCGGCCCAGTGGCGCAAGCCGTTAAGTGTGCGCGCTCTGCTTCGGCAGCCTGGAGTTCACAGGTTCAGGTCCCGGGCGCGCACCACCGCACTGCTTGTCAAGCCATGCTGCTGCGGCGTCCCATAATAAAGTAGAGGAAGATGAGCACGGATGTTAGCTCAGGGCTGATCTTACTCACAAAAAAAAAAAAAGAACCAGTTTCTAAACCTCTGTGGCTGGGCACAGTGCTGGATACAAGGGTGCTGGGGGAGCAGAGGACATCCTTAGAGAGGGAGCCGTTGTCATCTGGAGGGGTGAGGGGAGCAGCATGAACAGAGGGGACTTGGCCCAGTTCCTGGGGGGGTGTGGGGGGCAGGGTGGACATGAAGCTGGGGTTGTGCAGCGGAGCTTGAGGCCACCCCCCTGAAGCTCCAGAGCAGGAAGGTTAGGGCTGGGGTGCGGGCGGGCAGTGGGCAGGTCACAGTTCTCTTCTCCCGGCTCCCTCCCTGCTCCTCCCAGAGACACAGTTCTGGAGCCAGGGCTGCACTGGGCTGGCCGAAGGGCTCCTTGGGGACTGGTACCCCAAGGCTGCAGCCCCCAGAGCTCGTGCTTCCAGCGAGTTCTGGAAGGTTTGGTCCAGAGTCCTGCAGCAGGAGGGGCAGTCTGGGCAAAGCAAGCGATGGAGGAGGACGTGGGTGGGAGCCTGTGTGGCCCGAGACAGGAACTCGGTGCCCACTGGTTGTGCCCCACCCCAGCTCACTCTTCCCCATTTCCAGGCCCAAGCACGCACCTTCCGTGCCATTTTACAAATAAGGAAAGCTTCCAGCCAAAAAAGTGCCCACCGCCCTCCTGGCCCCAGGGTGTGCCCAGCCTCCTCCCCCTCCCCCTGGAGGGCCAGCCCCAGCAGTGTGGCCTCCACCTGAGTCTAGGCCTGGTGCCTTGGCCGAGGTGGAACGCGCCTGTCACTGTTGCTAGTGAAGGTGGCCTTCCACATCCAGGCCTCACTGTCCCTGTGTCAGAGGCACCCAGCTTGGGGGGACACAGCACTGAGCATCGTGGGAGGGCACTTAAGGACGGGACTACACGAGCAGGCTGGAGCTGGCATCAGCCTGTCCACTTGGCAGAACTCAGCCCAGCCAGGCCCTGGGCCTTCAGAGATGGTGGTTGAGCAATGGGGTGGGGGGAGGGCACGGGGTGGGGCAGTGAGGGGCGCAGCCTGGAGAGGCCTGCACTCCTAGGCCTGCCCCACCCTGGGGAGGGGCTGGGAGAGCATCTGACAGGCCCAGAGGTGGCTTTGACTTAGGACCTCAACACACATTCCAGCGCAGCCAAGCGGCACCTTGGGGCCCCTCGCTCTCAGGAAGGGGGTGTCACATGGCCGCACCCATCTCCTAAGTGGCTTCATGGGTCTCAGCTCCGGCCCCAGAGAGCTGCCAGGAGGGCAAGGAGGTGTGCGTTGGGGAGTGTGACCCAGGAGCGGGTGGCATCCTGCAGGGGGCCAGGCAAGCCCTGGGGTGGATTCAAGAGGGGGGGAGATGAGCCCCAACCCCATTGTGTCCCCCAGGGTCTCCCAGCTGCAGCCCTGAGGTGCTCTCCCAGCCACCGCGGGAGGAGGAGCTGTCAGACCTGGATCTCCAAGATGTGGAGGAGGTCCAGATCAGCCGAGACACCTGCTGGCCAGGTGAGTGAGCAGAACGCGATCTGGGGCAGCCCAGGAGCGCATTCACCCCTGGTTGTCGCATGCGTGCCTCTGGGCACCACCGCTGCCAGGATCCTGGGCGCTGCTTGTCCCTGGCTCGGAGCTCACTTCTGCCCCCCATGGCCCCTCCCCCATTCGGTCCCAGTCTCTTCACTGACACTTACCGAGGCTCTGAGTGCGGCCCAGACCCCTCCGCTGAGCCCAGACCCCCATAGCCACCTGCCTGTCAGGCTGCGACTCAGCACCACTGCCCCCCTAGGCCAGCAGCCAAGGAGTCATCCTGGGCCTCTCTTCTCTCTGTGTAGTGCCCTCGGCCTCTACTTGTCCCTTAAATCAAGCTGTGGTCCTCATCCCCCTCTCGCCAGGCCTGGCTGGGGCTGTGCTAACCCAGGCCCTCAACCCCTCGCTGCTCTCCACCCCTCCCCCCAACCCTCACCTCTCCCTCAGGAGAAGCCCTTGGGATGCCCCCATGGGGTCTCCGCCTCTCATGGTCAGCACTGTGCTCTCCACCCCTCACCCAGGAGATCCTGGAGGTGTCTGAGGTGGGGGCCCTGGGAAGTAGACCCTCCCTGCAGCAGCGACAGGAGGTGCCTGGGTGGGCTGCGTTGCTGAACTGAGAGGCGGTTGCCACCTGGACCTCAGGCAGTCCCTGGAGGAGCTCTGGAGGGCATGGGCCTGCAGAGCCTCAGCACAGGCGCCTCTGTGGAGAGGGGGCAGCAGCAGCCTCCCACACCCCACACCCTGGGGGTCTGGGCAGCACCCTTTGGAGCATGGGGGCCTGACTGCGTTGCTCTGAGTCTGATTCTCCTGTCGGGCCTTACCGCCCAGGTCTGCTTTCGCCCTGGTCCCGGCCCCGTGGCACCCCCTGCTGGTCTCTTCATCAGGAATGGCATCGTAGCGACCCAGTAGAGGGACAGGCTGGTGGGTGGGTGGACCTATCCACTGCTCCCATTTCTCATTTCAGATTCCGAGTCGGAGCCCGAGCAGTCTCCACCATCTCCCCACCCACACGATCCTGAAGATGAGGAGGACCAGGACGGGGGCGTGCTGAGGACCCTGCTGAGGAGCCTTCCCCATAGACCCAAGTGTGGGGACAGCTTTGGGCAGGAGTCCAGCTTGGAGCGGCCAGCAGGCCAGCCGCCAGGGGCCATGCCCTGCTCCCAGAGGAGGGGCGCCTGGCGAATGACGCTCATGCCACAGGGAGCCTCTGGAACTGAGGGTGGCCCCGAGCGGGCCGCCGAGCTGGGGGGCAGCTTTGCCCCGGGTGCGGGCCTCGGGGCCCGGCAGGGCGGCCCGCGGGGCGGGAAGCCGCACCAGTGTGAGGCCTGCGGCAAGAGCTTCAAGTACAACTCGCTGCTGCTGAAGCACCAGCGCATCCACACAGGCGAGAAGCCCTACGCCTGCCACGAGTGTGGCAAACGCTTCCGCGGCTGGTCGGGCTTCATCCAGCATCACCGCATCCACACGGGCGAGAAGCCCTACGAGTGCGGCCAGTGCGGGCGCGCCTTCAGCCACAGCTCGCACTTCACGCAGCACCTGCGCATCCACAACGGCGAGAAGCCCTACAAGTGCGGCGAGTGCGGCCAGGCCTTCAGCCAGAGCTCTAACCTGGTGCGGCACCAGCGGCTGCACACGGGCGAGAAGCCCTACGCCTGCAGCCAGTGCGGCAAGGCCTTCATCTGGAGCTCCGTGCTCATCGAGCACCAGCGCATCCACACGGGCGAGAAGCCCTACGAGTGCCCCGACTGCGGCAAGGCCTTCCGTGGCCGCTCCCACTTCTTCCGGCATCTGCGGACCCACACGGGCGAGAAGCCCTTCGCCTGCGGCGCCTGCAGCAAGGCCTTCGGCCAGAGCTCCCAGCTCATCCAGCACCAGAGGGTCCACTACCGGGAGTAGTGGGCACAGGAGGCCGTTGCTGAGCTGGGAGGGGCGCTGGCGCAGCCGGGGATTGAGGCGGGTTCTGGAGGCAGTGCTCTGCCTTCTCACCCTTCCTGGCTGGCGCTGCGTGCCGGTGTCCCCAATAAATCCTTTTTAATTGATGGAAACAGGAGCCACTCCTGCCTGGGCAAGGCCATGGGCTGCTTCCCGTCCCTAAGGGCCTGTCTCTGGAGAGGAGTGACGGCCTTACCCAGTGCCCTGTTTAGTCTCCTGGGGCCTCGTGGGCAGGCTGAGCTCACCCGGGACTGAGGCCAAGGGTGCCTGACTTACCCGTAGCCATAGCCAGGGGAGTAGTCAGGTGCCCCAAAATGGGTGTTTCCAGATGCAGAGACCCAGAGAGGGCGGGGAGGGCAGGGCTGGCGCAGGCCCCCCTCCCCCTCGCCTTGGGCATGGGGTCTCTGGAAATCGGCTCCCTCACGTATCTAGAGAATGCATGTAGCAGAATCTCCATGGGACAAGCCCTCAGACCTACCCGGGTGCCTGCTCACCTGGCCTTTGCACTTGGTGGTGGCCACCTGCAGGAAGGGGCTCCTGCCCATTGCCATTGCTGGTCTGCCAGTCGATCGGCCCTCACAGCTGCCCCAGCCCTGGGAAGGTGGGGCCCAGGTGTCCACCTCTTGACAGGTGGGCCACTACGGCTGCAGCTGGGTCATGGCTTTGGCGATTTTCAGATCTGTCGGGGTGCCTTGTAGCTCCCGGACGCCCAGCCCCTGTGGTCCAGGGAAGAGCTCTGCTGGATGTCGGCAGGCATTGCGCCTGCTCCCTGCCAGCGCCTCCTGAGACTGGAGCTCCGAGCGTCGCCTCCCTGCTTCCTCCTCTTGCCGCTGAGACGGCGTCCTCGCCTCCCCAGGCCACCAAGTCCTGTGGACTCCCTGCCCTGCGCCCCCCGCTCTGGGTGAAAGCCAGTCCGGGGAAAGGGGCTGGAGGTCAGGTTGTCTCTGGACATCAGTTTCAGGGGCCAAGTCACCTCTTTGAGTCGCCCTGTGGTGCCCTGGGATTCAGGCCTCTCGGCCTGAAAGACGGGAAACCTGCCTTCTCCCCGCTCCTTTCCCCCGGTAATATCGCGCCAGGCCGCAGAGCAGCGAGCAGAGCCCCCAGGGCTTCGCGGGAGCGGCAGGGTCAGCCTGTGCTCCAGCAGGGTCGTCCTGCAGCCTCAGCGCCGAAGCTGGACCCGGATGCCCGCTCCGGACCTAGCAGGCGGCCACCGAGAGCAGAGCCCGGCAGTCCTCCAGGCCGCCCTAGACCGTCTGGGAGGTGGCCCACAAGCGCCTGTCCCCGGCGCACCTGCGGCCACCGGACGGGGGCGGGGGCGGGGCCGAGTGGAGTCGGGATGGGGCGGGGCCTGGGCGAGGTGGGGCGGGGCCAAGTGCACCGTCTGCCGAGACGCCCGGGTGTCCGCCGGGAAGGCCGCCCACAGGAAGGGGCGTGGAGGAGGCCGCCCCGGGCCGCGGCTGCTCGGCGCCGGCTGTAAACCCTCAGCAAGGTCGCTGTGTCCTCCGTTGTCGGGCAGGGCCCGCCGAGATGAGCTAAATGACGTTTCCGCCAGTGTCCCTGCCCCAAGCCCGGGGCAAGGGGCTGATTCTCGAGCGTTCCATCTGACCCCTCAGCGCTTCCCGGGAACGGAGCGCCAGGCAGGACCCAGACGAGGACTCCGCAGAGGTGTGCTCCACCTTGTGCCCGCCCGCATTTATCAGCATCTGTTGGACAGGACCTTCTGGATCTCGGCCCCTGGCCGCTCCTGGGACGGCGGGCGGCCGGGCACCTCTCCCGAGCTCCTGCCGCTGGCTCGGCGCAGGGTCGCTCCCTGCCTCCCCAGCATCACCGTCTCGCTCCAGTTCCGCCCCGCGCCCAAGCTTGCTCGGGAGCCTCCGTCCGGCATCCCGCCAACCCCACGTTATCACCCACACGGCCCCGGATCCTTGGCTTTGGCCTCTTGCTCTTCCCCGAAGTGACCAGGAATCATCCCAAGGACCCAGTGGTCTCCAGGAGCCCAGGTTTAGGGTCCTTCTGTCCTGATGGCAGCCCCGCACTCACGCCCCTCAGGGGGCCTGTTTCCTCCTCCGAACGTGGGGACGGCAGTCTGCTGGCACCAGGCACGTGGCAGTTGGAAAGACGGCTATAGACTCTTTGGCACACCGCCAGGCACACAGCAAATACCGTCAGAAGGGCTCCTGCAAAGGCTCTGTCCACAACCAGGGATGGGTCAGGGACCCTGGACACAGACAGTCTCAGCAGAAAGCCACCAGGGGCCAGGGCTGGCCACAGCCAACGGAGGGACCATGGCATGAGAAGCAGCAAGGCCCCAGGAGAGGGGTCAGTGTGAGTTTCAGAGCCCAGGAAGCGACCACTTGTACTCAGGCAGTATCTGCTTTTGGCCCCAGAAGGAAATGGAGGCCCTAGAGGGCTCTGCAAGGAAGAGGGGTGATCCTCCGAGGAGCTTCCAGGCCGAACGAGGGCGGGGGCGGGAGCAGACAATCCCAGTCCTGGGCTCCTTGTGCAGGGCGTGGAGCGGGCTGTATGTGCCGGGGGTCAGTAAAAAACCGACAGAAACGAGCCTAAGTGTGGCGACTTGCCCTTTGGATACGAGGGTTTTTACTTTTACATGAATATAAACAGTACGGTGTAATGGTTAAGAAAATCGACTTTGGAATTTAAAGCCCAACACTACACTTAACTGTAAGGTTGTACGTTTTATTAATCTTTCCTAATCTGTTTCCTAATTAGAAATAAAATGTATTAGTCAGGGTTCTCCAGAGAAACAGAACAAATAGGAGATTAGATAGATAGATAGAGATCTATCAAGATCTGTCTATCTGTCCTAGTAATATCTATACATATTATTAGGTATTGGCTCGTGCGATTATGTAGGCTGAGGTCCCCAGATCTGCAATTGGCACACTGGAGACCCAGGAGAGCTGAAGGTGTACTTCCAGTCTGAAAGCCAGCTGGCTCGAGACCCAAGAAAAGCCGATGTTTCAGCTCAAGTCTGAAGGCAGAAAGAAACCATGCCCCAGCTCACCAGTCAGCAGGAGGAGTTCCCTCTTACTCAGCTTTTTTGTGCTATTCAGTCCTTCAACTGATTGGATGGGGCCCACCCACATTAGGGAGGGCAACCTGCTTCACTCAGTCTACTGATTCAAATGTTGATCTCATTCAGAAACACCCTCACAGACACACACAGAATAACGTTTGACCAAATATCTGGGCCCCCTGTCGCCCAGTCAAGTTGACACATCCAGTCAACCCTCACAAGCAAGGAGAAGAATTGTACTTATGTGGTGGGGCTGCCTAATCCCTCCTGCCACAGAGCTGCGCTCTCGCCAGGACACAGAGAGGAGCTCAAAGCCGCCCCAGACCCGCCTCCTTCTATTTTAGCCGCTAGAGGGGCAAGGGCTCTGCCCGGCCCCAGCACCTAGGAAACATCCCCAGGGAAGGGCTCTGCTGGGTCCTACTGGTGGCTTGTGCCACTCGCCATCCATCCCTGGGCCAGAGGCTGCTGCTCAGCCCGACTCTTGTGGTCATCATACCCACGGCTGGCGCAGGGTGCTGGGATGGGCAGACAGAACCGTGTCCTTCGCACACATTTTCAATAGCAGTGTCGTCCACGCACTTGTGTTTTTCAGTTGCTATGCAACATTCCATATTGGGCTACCTCAGTATCCCCAGGGTTTCAGTCTGAGAGACTCTAGATCAATGACAGAGAGCCCAGAGGTGGAAGCCAACACTTGGTCTATGGACCCATCTGCTGTGCGTTGCGCACCCCTAAGCAGGCCAGCAGGCACGTCCCAGCATCCAGCTTCTAAGGACGTTCACCCTGCTTTGCAGCCCAGCTCTGCCACTCACTTCTGTGCCATCATGGGCAAGGTACATACCCTCTCTGAGCTGCATCGGTAAATTGGGGATAATGATTCTACATCCCAGGGTTTCTGTGAGCACTACATGGAATCATTACATGAAGCTCCAGCAGAGCACAGGCCAGTCAGAAGTTAACAAGAATGTTTGTAACCGCCCAGCCTACCATCCCAAAAATCATGACATCCTCCCGTGATCCTTTATGACACCTCTTTACTCCCAGCTCCTTCATTCAGGAAACCTTTCTTGAGCACTGTTATGAAAGGTTCGGGGATTCGATCAGAGACGTAAAAGACATTTTTTACTCCAAACAAATGGACTGAAGGTATATTTTATTATATAGAGGATAGTAAAGGCGATAGTCTGCAAACAGATCCAAATAGGTCAAATATTAAGAGGGAAAAAAACATCAGCCCGACTGGAAAGGGAAAACACCCACATCGGCTGAAGAGAAAAGACACAAATCAACCGGAAAGAGAAACACCAGGTTGACCGAAAAGAGAACACATCAAATCAATTACTTCATATCAAATCAATTACTTCATATCAAATCAGTTATTCACAACATTCACGCCCCACTGCCGGGAGAGCCCTGTCAATCGACGCGGCTGGGCAAGGATCACACGTCCTGGGCACGGCGTCCCTTCCACAGGTGGAACTCTCACTAGGGCTCAGTTTCCAGCAGTTTTTATACCATCAGTAATTTTCAGAGTAAGCAATTACAGAGTTTGCAGAGCAAGCATTTAGTGTTCCCATGCACAAAATGGTTATCAGTGGCGTACGTGCACTGAGCCCCTTGGCTAACGTCCCAGCCCAGTAGTTGTGTACGTGCATTGTTCTCTTTGGTTATCGTCCCAGCCCGGCACAGATGGCCAGTCCATCCCATGCTATGACGCTCCAAGAGCCTTGAAATGTTGCAACTTGTAACTTTCTCCGTGGGAGAAGGGCCAGTTCCCACCACGCAGAAAGCAGCTTTCATATTTCTTTTTCTGCTGGTGGCTGTAGGTCAACGGAGCGGCCAAACATGGCTGTACTCATGTCAAGACAAGCACCTGCTCTTTGCGGGCTGCCTTCCCCACAGTAGCCTCCTCTGACTCTGTCCTCAGGGTGCAGCACAGTGGCAGCTCTCCGCATCTGCCGCCAGACTGGAGTCACTGGGGGCCACCCAACGGTATCAGTGCTCGGATCCCCCAGCTTTATCTCTTAAACCCAAGGCTCCTGACTAAATCAGATCTGGTAGGATTTTTCCAACTGC